AGCTGCGCGGACATGCCCCATCATTTGCAGCGGGTGCAGCCCTTATTTCTAAAGTCAATCGAGGCACGGCAGCGGTACGCGCATTTGGCGCGGCGCCAACCCGCTTCCATAGGTCGTTGCGGCTTCGGGGGCTCAATGAAGGGCGGGAAGGGGGCTGGCGCCTCGCGAACACGCCCCACAGACCATCGGTGATAATGGCTGTACCTGAGCAGGTGCGCGACTTCCAACAACCTCAAGAACGTTTCAGAGTCAGGCCGTACGCAGCAGGGCACGTTTTCTCATTACAGGAATGTTTGTAGAATACGACCCCCTCTTCAAAACTTCCTCCTCTAGTACGACCCCCCTTCCTCATCCTACCCACTATATTTTTAGAATTTCTCAGGGTTCTTACCACTTTCTCTTAGTTTTTTTTTCCGAAAATTCTCTGCGTTTCCCCCAGCTCATCGCCAAAAAAACTGCCACTAAGGGAGGCAGGACAGTTGAACCATGAAAAACCGAGGAAGCCAAAAATAAGTGAAAACTTTTTCCTCTGGGGCGGGCCCTCAAAACAGCAAATAAGCACCAATCCCCCCCCCCTCGCTGGGGATTTCTAATGCACCACGTCACGTCATACTTGAATCAACACTGAAGCCACAACCACCACTCGGTTTCCGATTTTGGATCCACTAATGCACAGCCAGCCGTCCGAGACTGTTGAATTTCAAAGGGAATCTTTCTATGAGGACACTTCCCAGGATGATCGGAAGGGCGGAGACTCACAACCATTGCCCACCCTCTCCGATGAACTAAAAGAAGTTATAATACGAACAAGATGTACTAAAAAGGGATGGGCACAACGGCTGTGAGTCTCCGCCCACTCGCCCATCGCGGAATGTGTGTTCGATTACAAACAAGGTAAGCACTGACCTTGCTCCCGGTATCAATTTTTCTACAATCTTCTGGGTCATTTTCTCCATCTGAGCTATCGCGATGCGCTTGTGCTCCGCAGTCATTGATGATTCGTCCACCTGAATGACTTTCTCTCAGAATCCACTCAAACTAAGAAAACATTCGAAAAGCTGTATAGAAATAGAAGGTGGGAGGCAGCCACCAAGAAACTCGATGATCTTCTACGGAAATATCATCGACCATTTCAATCACCATTGTGTAAGCAAGAGCTGGGGAGAAGTGGGAGAAATGGGGTACTCTTTTGGTCCCTAAAAACCCTCTTCGACCGTTGACTTCCTCGTTTCAAAAGCACAAAATACCACTTTATTCTGTTGCGCGGAATAACTGTTATTTTCGAGGCGAAGGTACCTACATCGCCTACTTTCGCTTTTCGATAGCAGAGTTTTGGAAGGAGTTGATAAGAGTGTAGGTAGGTGCTGTGAAAGGTCAGGGTCCGTAAGGGCCCGTCATGCTTCAGTACTCGGTTCTAGTTATTCAATAAATATTCGTTGACTATCAGCCTAAGACTTGCACAGAAAGGGGTGTAAGACCCCCACTCACACTGGTAGCAGGCTTTAAAGGCACAGCTCGCGCCGAGATTGCGGAAAACGGAACTCAACATTACGAACTGGAAAAGTGTGAGTATACTGACGAGCGGAGAAAAGCAGCAGGAGAAAGAGTTTCGAAATGCTATGTGAGTAGATAGCATAGTGGGCTACTAGCATAGTAGGTACAGCCGTGGGTGGCCAATGGGCCATAGAGGGTGTCAGATGGGCCATAACTAGTCGCTTTAGCGGAATCTTGCCAATTTTCTCATTTTTGAAAGTAGCGGCCTCGAAAATCGCCTCTGGATCGGTCCGACCATTTGAGAGATCACTAGCTTCATCTTTGGGGAAAAGTGCTTTTAAGTTACTGGTAAAAGCTGAAAAAGGCGTCTCGAGAAGCCGCTTGTAGGATAAGGAAGATATTTCTTGAGGAGGATAGTGGGGGGCATAGTGGCCTCGTAGGATTCGAATCAGGAGTCGGCTCGTTCGCACACTCGATCCTTGCGAGAGGTTTATGTGGAACGTTGGGTATACTTTATTCATTAGAAGCTTCCAGAATTCTGAATGCTCTTCTGAGAGTCCCTAGCCGCTATAAAAACGCAGTTTCGCAACGGAACAGAATGGTGACTCTTGAGAAACGCCTTTTGAAAGCTCCATGAACTTGTTCCCTGACTAGAAAATAGAAATGATTGGAATACGAACATGAATTGAATCCGGAGGCAAATTGAGCACGTTTGCGCAGTCTTGAAAACCAGCAGTATAGCTCGACTCGTATAAAAACTCCCACGTGTTAGATGTGAAGGAGCAAAAAGCAGCCGGATTTCGTCCGATTTAGGGAATAAAATCTTCCCCTCCCGCAGACAAACCGACTATTCCGTTTCCTTGAGGTTATATCGGCAACTGGTTTATCCCTTCGATAGCAACAGGGTGCAAATTTGCGTGATACTACCGGATTGAGGGCGAAACACTATTAATGCGGAATTTTGAAAACTAGTTTCTCAGGTAGATTCTTCTCAACACCTCCAATTGCTACCTAGTAGGACCACTTAACTTAAAAGCGATTCCGTCTCCATTCTGAAGTTCGCAGTTAATCAAACGTTTCAGAGGAACAAGCCACGTATTGGGAAGAACACACTAACACTAGTGAACAGTAGAAAAATTCAGTTTTTTCATAGTCACAGTGGAGCCCTTTATAGTGACGTGAATACGGTCCTACTCGGGGATTATGTCAGTGACCAAAAGGAACCCACAGAGGTTCTTAAGCCCTGCTGGTGCTTCCGCTGCCTGAATGAAGACCTCTTCCACACGACAGTCTCAGAGTTGACGCGCAACGACCGTGGTCAGAGCCTAGCGTCGACCGTCCCGCGCCAAGCCCAGTAACCTCTACGATCTGAGTTCTTGTAGAGGGTCTTAGTGCTCGAATCATCTCTCACTTCGCGAATGACGCCATCCCATTTTTCATTAGCGATTAGTGCGTATACGGACGGTGAGGGACATCCCTATCGCTGCTGATGCCTCCTGAGGAGAACTGTCAACTAATGAGAAGCTATGTAGCAGCATAAGCTTCATTTACACTCGACAAGAGACAACTGTTCTCAACAAATTAGGGGCCCCATTGCTGTTTTTCTACAAAAGGGTTGTGATTGGGGCACGTCTTGAGGGAAAATTCTGCGAAATACGACCCCCCCCCTCAAAATTTGCACATCCACTGACCCCTTTCTCTAGCTCCCCAGCCCCCATCCTACGTACTGTCTCTTCTTGGATTTTCCCAACTGCTACGAGTTCTTCCGGGAATTCGTCAATTTTCAACGAGGAAACCGAGAAAATTCAACAACACTGAACATGCTTTTCTCGGAAGCAAATACGACCCCATCAGCTGCAGCGGCCAGATGCGGCTGCCTTTCTGGGGGTTTATGCATAACGTGCCCTGGCTACTTTCAACGTCATGCCGAGTCATCAAGTAAAGAATCGTGAAATATTGCGAAGCCATGGAGTGATACCTGTCAAACATGGGAAGACCGCTTGTCAACTCCTGCAAAGCAGTGAACAGGTCGATGGGAAGTAGCAAAAAAAGCAAAATTCCCTCCCCCTCCCAAGTCAAACCGCGCTAATCATAATAACCCCTATCGGTTGCAGAAGCCTTTGTGTAAAGGTCTCATTCTGTTTAGATAGCTTGGAAAACATTCGGCTGCAGGGGACAGCATCGTGATGTGTGAAAAGGTGGTGTAGGTACGACCCCCGCACTTCCGAGAGAGGGTTTCAGTACGACCCCTCCCACCCAAAGGGGGTCTCGGTGCAACTTCCTCCCTTCCCCAGCACCTACCTACCAATTTTTCACATTTCCCAGTATTTTCACCCAAAGGTTTTCCCGTCGAAGGGGAGAGGGTATAAATATAAAGCAAATCACGCCAAAAGTCAACAACCGGGAGAAATTTTTTCCCATGCACTAATCTTCTCTTAAAGGCAAAAGCGACACCCTATCCCCTCTACAACGACCAAATATGACCCCCTCTCCCCAGCGGAAAAGTACGACCCCTATGTGTTTCACACAACGATGCTGTACCCTTTGCTGTGTCTTCGGGAAGTGTTTTGACAAAGCAAGACTAAGTGTTTCCGATGTTTCCTTGGAGGTCTTTAGTGTTTTGGCTCCACACCCTAATAGACTTCGTTCAGGTTGAACCGTCTCTTCATTCTGAACCTTCAACAGTTTGTGGCCGATTAGGTCTGTGGACACTTTTGCTGAAAGGC